CAAGGAGTCCAGCCAGGCTGGGCCATGTCACAGCATTCCCTCCTGTCCATGTGAACAGAGGGAAGGAGGTGGCCTGCCAGGATGGGGGGGTGGCATAGTGGTGTCCCCTGTCCCACATCCTCTCTGCCTGCAGGATGACAAGGAGTACGTGGGTTTTGCCACGCTGCCCAGCCAGGTCCATCGGAAGTCAGTGAAGAAGGGCTTTGACTTCACCCTCATGGTAGCAGGTATGGAGGGGCTGAGCCTGGCAGTGGGGATGCTGACCCAGCTCAGGATCCCAAAATTCATGGAGCAGGGTGGGGCACCAGGTATCTTCCTTCACCCTTGTCCTCCTGTCCCAGGGGAATCCGGGCTAGGCAAGTCAACCCTGGTCAACAGCCTCTTCCTGACAGACATGTACAGAGACCGCAAGCTGCTGAACGCTGAAGGTGAGAGGGGACAGTCCCAGGGTGTTCTGGGTGTCCCAGGGTGGCTGGCAGAGTTCTGTGCCCCTCCTGGAGTGCTGCAGCGCCTCTCGCTGCCCAGCTGGGCACCTTGGGCTCTCTGAATCTGCTTGTGGTGCTGTGCCAGCTGCCTTCCTGTGCTGGGGACTGCTCCAAGGCAGCAGACCCCTCCACTGCTTGGCACAGGAACCCCCCACAGGGACTTTGTCCCTGCTGGGAAAACAAGCCTCAGCTTGCTGGGGACCAGCTGAAGCCACAGCAAATCCAGGGGGGCTGCACACAGTTGGGATCCAGGGCACGGGGCTGAGTCAGCTGCCACCAGTTTTGGAACTAACATTGCACAAGCTTGCCCAAATCATCAGGAGTTCAAGGCAGTTGATTGATTTGTTTTGAGGTGGTTGTTTGATTTGTTTCCGTTGCTCAGAGCAGAAGCCAAAATGCCTGTGGCCACACGCACGTGACGCAGTGGGAGCATCTTTGGGAACATGGGGCCAGGGAGGGATCCTGGGGGTGAAGGGGAACGTGCAGTACCAGACCCTTGGGGTCACATGTGGGGGTTCATGGATCTGCAGCTGCTCCCACAGTGATGCCTGGCTCCAGCAGACCCCTGTGTTGCTGAAATCAGCCTGCAACAGTCACTGAGGGAGAGGTGCACATCTATGTTGTGATGCAGGAGGCTGTGGCACAGAGCATCGTAGTGCTGGACCTGGTGCCTGTGTGGGCTGATCCTGCAAAGCCCCACCCCAGCCCCCCAGGGGCTGCAGCATCTCCCTGTGTCACCCCCATTGTCTCTCATCCGGGGTGTCCCCTGCTGCCTCTGTCTCCTGCTGCTGCAGAGCGCATCACGCAGACAGTGGAGATCACCAAGCATGTGGTGGACATTGAGGAGAAGGGTGTCAAGCTGCGCCTGACCATCGTGGACACACCTGGCTTTGGTGACGCCGTGAACAACACCGAGTGGTGCGTCCCATGGGGGGGTGGAAGCCAGGGCTCCTGGGGCTGGCCAGAGCCAGCAGCTCCTCAGGGGAGATGCTGAGCCATGGGAAGTGTTGAGCTGGAAATCCAAGGAAAGACTTGGGTCTTGGAGGACACTGATGTCACCTCTTTGTCCCTTCAGCTGGAAGCCAGTGGCTGACTACATCGACCAGCAGTTTGAACAGTATTTCCGTGATGAAAGCGGCCTCAACCGGAAAAACATCCAGGACAACCGCGTCCACTGCTGCATCTACTTCATCTCACCCTTCGGCCATGGGTACAGGCAGCCCCTACCTGTGCAGCTGGGATGAGAGGTGCTGGGGAAGGGGCTCAGTGGGATGGTGTTCACTGGGCCCCCCTACAGGCTCCGGCCCCTGGATGTGGAGTTCATGAGAGCCCTGCACCAGCGGGTGAACATCGTGCCTGTGCTTGCCAAGGCTGACACCCTGACCCCTGCTGAGGTGGAGCGTATGAAGAATAAGGTACAGTGATATCAGCCCAGCCTTGAGCCACCCCAGCAGGTCCCTGGGGAGGGGGTGCCCCTGGGGCTGGTGTTCTCTATTGGCTGGGAGGGTTGGGGAGGCAGGTCTCTCCATCCCCTGCCTGGATTTCGCCGTGGAGCATCCTCCATGTTCAAAGCACTGGAGGGGATCACATTGTCCACACAGGCACCAAGGACACATCTCCCTTGGGCTGAGCTGGGGTCTGGAAGGGTCTGGGGTGGGGGGAGTATCCATGACATCTAGTCTTGGGGGACACGCTTTTGTGGGAGGGGACACAGGGGGACACTGGCACTGTGTGGCACTTCCCATCCCATTTCTGAGGGCCAGAGTCCTCCCTTCAGCATGGCTGTCTGCCTTCAGATCCGAGAGGAGATCGACCAGTACGGCATCCGCATCTACCAGTTTCCAGAGTGTGACTCGGATGAAGATGAGGAGTTCAAACTGCAGGACCAGGCACTGAAGGTGGGTCTGGTACCTCCAGCACCATCCCTGGGGGAGCAGAGCCCCATGACCAGACACATCATCCTGGGGTACCCTTAGGATTCTGGGGACCATGCAAGCTCTCCTGCAGCCCCAGTGTGGTGGTGTTGGTACCATGTCACCAAGACCCCACAGGTGCCATCTGCAGCTTGGGGACTGGTGTGGAGAAACCCAAGCCATGACTGTTGCCGTCCCCCCAGATGGGGGCTGTACAAGGTCAAGGAGATGCATATAGGCCGTGGTGGACAGGAACAAGCCCTGCTAAGCCCTGCCATCCTCTTGCAGGAGAGCATCCCCTTCGCTGTCATCGGCAGCAACATGATCGTGGAGGCCAAAGGCCGGCGTGTCCGTGGGCGCCTCTACCCCTGGGGCATTGTAGAAGGTAATGTTGGGCTGTGTCCCTGCATCCTTCTGGCCTTTCAGGGGTATCATGTGCCCCATTTCCGTGTTGCTCTGCCTTGGGGGAGTTTGGGAGAATGTGGGGGGCTAGCTGTGGCCTCCTGACCTCGGGCTCCCCCACAGTGGAGAACCCGTCCCACTGTGACTTTGTGAAGCTGCGGACGATGCTGGTGAGGACCCACATGCAGGACCTCAAGGACGTGACTCGGGAAACCCACTACGAGAACTACCGCACGCAGTGCATCCAGAGCATGACCCGCATGGTGGTGAAAGAGAGGAACCGCAAGTAAGGGGCTGGGAGGGGCTGCCAGGCTGGGGGGTGTGGGGAGGCATTTTCTCTCTTTGGGGTGACCCCAGCCCATGGTGAGTGGTCATCTTGGGGGACTGGAGTTGTGTGTGGGTCCATGCGGGCCAGGCAAGGGAACCTGTGATATGGTTGGGTTCCTGTGCCACTGAGCTAGGACTAGCTTGGGGGGCGAGGCTTTGGTAGCAAGGGGGACCCTGTGTCCCCCTGGGGATGGATGTATCTCAGGGGGATGCTGCAACAGTGAGGAGAACCCTGTGTCCCCCCTGGGCTAGGGGTGGAGGGTGAGTGAGGAGTGGGATGCTGCAGCAGTGAGGTGGACCCTGCATCCCTGCAGGTTTGGGGGCTGCAGCAGGAGCCAGGTGAGCAGCCAGTGCTGCTGCTTTCCTGCCAGTACCCTGTCATCCCCCTCAGCACCCCCAAAGGTGCTGGGGGAAGCCCCCTGGTGGGGGCTGGAGCGCTGCGAGGGGGTGGGGAGAGGGCCCTGGTGGTGACTCTAGGTGCCTCTAAGCTGGTGTCTCCATGTGTGTTGCTGGAGCAGGCGGCATCCCTCCCCGCTCAGGCTCTGCTGCACCGACTGCTCTGCTGACTGAGCCAGGCTGGCCAGGCAGGGCTTGGCCAAGATCTCCAGCCCTGCCCATCACCCTGCCCCATATAAAAATATTTGTTGGTATCCAACCCTGTCTCAGTCCTTCTGTGCCTGTGCAAGGGCCAGGCAACTGCTCTGAGCCAGAGCCAGCCCTGTGGCCACCTGCCCTCACAAGTTGCCCTCAGGGTGCTGGGAGAACTTAGTGTGCTGGTTGACCGTCAGCCAGCTCACCCCAGTGAGGTGGGGCTGGGCGGATGTGCCACCATTTGGTATCATCTAGCTTCTCCCAGCCAAGGTCTGGCCATGTGCAGGACTGCAGAGCAGACACCCCCATTGCACTGCCCTCCCCTGAGAATGTGATTTTGGGGTGCAGAAGGCAGTGGCAGACAGTCTTCCCTGAGCTGGTGAAGCTGCTTGTCCCGTTGCCCTGCTCAAGCCTTGTCTTGCTGCTAGGGATGGAAGGAGCTCGATGGGCTTCCCCCAGGTCCTCCCACAGTGAGAAGCCATGAAAACAGGCAGCAACTTCCAAAGTGTTGCTCAAAATGCAGCCAAAAGCCATCCCCTGACATGGCATGCTGGCACAGCCCCCCCAGCACTGCAGATCACCCAGGGCAGGGGGACCCAGCCCACTATGGAACATCATGGTGACCAACAATAGGACATGAGGGAATGGTTGGAAGATGTTCAGGGGAGGTTTAGGTTGGATATTAGGGAGAGATTCTTCACCCAGAGGGTGGTGGAGCACTGGAATAGGCTCCCCAGGGAAGCAGGCATGGCACCAAGCCTGACAGTAATAAAGAAGACTTCAGACAACGCCCTCAAGGACATGGTGTGAACTTTGGGATTGTTCTCTTCCGGGGCGGGAGTTGGATTGGGTGATCCAGGCTGTCCAGGGAGGTGGATGAGTCACCCTCCCTGGAGATATCTACAAAGAAAAATGTGGTGCCAGGGAACAGGGTTTAGTGGTTGATGTCACAGAGTTACGGTAGTGGTTGGACTTGATGACCTTGGAACTCTTTTCCAACCATAGTGATACATGCGGAGGCGCTTCAGTGGAATGTGACTGGCACATGGTGGCATGTGTGACCCCCGTCAGTCACAGCTGTGCTGTCCCAGCCATGTTGTCACCAGCTGCATATGGCAACCACAGCTCTCCTGACTGTGTCCCTCTCTGTTGCTGTTGGGGTGGCCGAAGCCATTGATTGGGCTGGGTCCTGCATGGTGGGATGGTCCCAGGGGGTGCCTGCAGGGTTGTGCACAAACAGGAGCTGATGCTTGGGATGAGGGGTGCCGATCATCCCTGGAGGTGGCCAGACAGCAGGGGTCCTTGGGATCCCATCTTGCCATGGGGCTGTGGGGGAGGAAGGAGATGCCAAGCTCAAGGTGTTTTTCATGCAGCAGTGAAAATACTGGAGGAGGAGAACCTGGCCCCAGCTCAAAGCACCCAGCAGGGTGCTTCCCAAAATGGGCAAGTGTGGAGAAAGCCAGGCAAGACTCGGTGTCCTCGGGGGGTCCCTGGCACCCCTTGTTGTGATGGTGCCTGGCTTCCCCCAGACTGGTGTGTGGCAGGTCAGGGGTTGCTGGGGCTTGGGGGGGATGCTTGGAGCTGCTTGTATCCCTTCTGCCTGGAGCAGCGTGACACTTGCCAGGGGGCTGAGGGGCTGTGCAGGTGGTTTCTGGGTACCTGCAAGGTTTGAGGTCTCCAAGGCTGCAGCACACATGGGGGGCTATGTCCCCCAGAGGGGCCAGTGGGACTGTGGCAGGATCCTCACCTCCTCCCTCTGCCTGCAGCAAGCTGACACGGGAGAGTGGGACAGATTTCCCCATCCCTGTCATCCCTCCAGTGCCGGATGCAGAGACAGAGAAGCTCATTCGGGAGAAGGACGAGGAGGTAAGCGTGGGAGAGGCCTGAGCCCCCTGGCCACCCCGCAGTGCCACTGGTGGCACAGGCATGGGGAGCCACCCTCCTCATGGGTACTGCTCCTCAGGCCAGGGTAAGGGAGGTATTGGGGGGGGGCATCAGAGGGTTCAGGCACCCCAGCCCCCAGCTTTTGGTGTTCCCAACCTGCTTGGGATGCTTGACCCAAATATGTTTGCAAGAGATCTGGGGCTGGGGGAAGACAACATGACAAGATGACCTCTGCTCTGCTCCCTTCCAGCTGCGCCGGATGCAGGAGATGCTGCAGAAGATCCAGAAGCAGATGAAGGACTCGCACTAGCCCTCTTATCCTCTTCCTCGACCCTCTCCCCAGATCAGAAATGTTTACATCATGCTCCATCCTGGCCCCACTGCGAGACCCGGTACCAACACCACACCCACCACCTTAAGCTGCTGCAGTATCGCCTTATCCCATGGGCCAGTGCCCATCCCATGGAGACAGTGAGGGGACAGGGCACCTGGCCTGGGGGTCCCCTGTCGCAGCTGGATTACTGCCCTGGCCTCACCCGAGCATGGGGACAGCTTTGTCCCACAAGCTTTGGCTTCCCCCCCAGCTCTGGGGAGGGTCACCAGCCTGCTCCCTGCACAGTGTCCTTTGTCCCCATGTCACCTTGGGCTGCATGCTTACAGCCTTTATGCTCAGCTTGGCCCTCACTTAAGGGAAGAGGAAAAAGAGACAGAGGGTCCCAGCACCCCCAAGCCCCCAGCTGCTCTTCTGTGAGGCATAGGGTTGCTCTCCCCTGGCCTTGGCTGCAGAGGGGCACAGCAGCTCCTGTGGCCATACATGTCCAAGGGGATAGAGGGGCACGTGCCACCCCAGACAGGGGGCAGCCAGCACTGGGGCCCTGAGCTGCCTCCATGCCAGAACCAGCACAAGGAGGGACTGGGACTTGGGGGTGTCCAGCCCTGTGTCCTCAACAGGGACCTTGTCTCCACCTAGTGTCACCCCTTGTCCCCAGGTGGTGGGGGAGGCCACGGCGTGGGGAGCATTGGGGAGCCACAGTCCAGAGAAAAATCCCTTAAACCCCAAATTAGAGGCGGGGTCCCAAGCCTCTCCCCCCTTCCTCTTGTCCCTGTAGAGAGCAATAACCACTGTCCTGCACCTGCAATGCTTCCTGTGACAGCAGCATCATCCCGTATCAGGCCCTGGTGCCACTTGCCCCTGTGTATCCCCAGGATGTCCCTGTCCCTGTTGCTTCCTGGCAGAGCATCACTGTGTGTCCCCCAATAATGTCCCCATTGATGCTGCTTCACAGCAAAGCACTGCTGCATGTCCCCATGTTCCCCTGTGATTGCCCCATGGGTGAAGAGCACTGCAGTGTGTGCCCATACATGTTGCTTTCCTGTGGAGTACTACATCATGTCCCCCCAGGATGTCCCCATCCCTATTGCTGCACTATGTTATGTCCCTATGTCCTCTCTAGGATGTCCTAATCTATGTTGCTTCCCAGCAAAGCACCACTGCATGATACTGGGATCAGCCCATGCCTGTACCTCTCAGCCAGTGGCCACAGGGCATGCCTGGGGAGATGGACACAGACCCCTCCAGCTCCCTGCTCCCCCCTGGGTACAGGGAAAGACAAAGGGGGATGGTGAGACAGCAAGATGGAGGCATAACTGGGAGCACTGGGATCATTGGGAGCACTGGGATCACTGGGAGCATTGGAATCACTGAGGGCTTGCTGGCACAGGGACATGTCCCCTCCCTGGCAGGACCAGGCAATCCAGGGTCTTCCAGGGTTCTGGGGGCTTGCTGAGGCTGATGTGGGCTACGTCTGGCTGAGGTACAGGGTGGGTGCTGAAGGTTGCTGGGGCTGTGTCTGGCATGTGCCACCCACATCGCTGGGCCAGCGGGAGGGCCCTTTGCCCACCATGGGCAAGGCCCCTCCCCCCCCAGGCAAGGCCCTGCAGGCTGGATTAGTGTGTTCCTTTTTTTAATGTTGCTATTTTCTTACAGAAGTACCTACCTTTGCATGATAGGCAGAGAGGCATTTATTAAAGCATAAGTAGACTCTAGGTTTATAAATTCTTATAGAGTTAGTGGAAATATTTTTATCCCTCCACAACGTTCTCAATAAATAATGGCTGACCTGGCTTGTCTGCAGCCCCTGGCTTGTCACTTCTGCACGTGGTGGGCACCCACGTCCCCAAGCAGAGGAGGGTGGGGACTGAGAGTGGCTGACCCAGTGGAGTGGCCTCTTGGTTCTGGCTCCTGTTTCCCTGGCAAAGGCTCAACATGGATATTGGGAGATTTGTGCTGCACCCAGCAGGGCATCCAGCTTGGGGTGGGGTGGAAGAAGCCCTGAGGCCTCAGCTCCAGGGAGGAGGGGGGATGCAAGCATGAAATTCCCCCTGCCTGCTGCTGGCTCGTCCCCCTCTCAGGAGCTGCCTTGAAGTCCCATGTCCCCAGGTGATGGGGCTGTGCTGGGAACTTAGGGGGCAAAACAGGGAGCCTGGGCTGGGGGACTGAACAGCCCTCCACATGCTACCCCTGGGCATCCTCGTGCCCCCCATGAGAGTGTGACACAGCAGGGCCACCCCTGCCTGCACCACTGCCCAGCTCCTCCAGTGTGGCTCCACCAGGAGCTGTCAGGGTCAAGATGCAGGAGGGATGGGAAGGGTGGCACCAGGATGGAAGAGCTGTGTCTCTACCTATCTCCAGTGGGCATTGTCTCCCTGCTCCCCGTTGTCACCCCTGCACCCAATTATCCCTCCCTGCACCCTGCTATCCTGTCCTGCATTCCCTATACTGCCCTGTCCCCCACTTCTCCAACCCCTTCCATGCTCCACCCAGTGCTGTCAGACTCATGCAATGCAGTACAGGGTGGAGGGACCAATGGCTGTGCCCCCAAATCTGTGACCCAGCAGATCCCCAGCCCTCAGCCAGGGCCAGTGTTGGGGGGGTCCTGGGTCCCTGACATGACACCCAGCAGCAGCCATTGTATGCATGCCACCTGTGTTCCCCCCACCGTGCAGGGCTGGGCGGAGGGGGTGCTGGGGGAAGCAGCCCTGAGCCCTCAGAGCCCCTCACCACATCCCCCTGCCATGGGCACCCATGTCTCTGATGCCTTCATCACCCTGAGCATCCTCGCCCGGCCCCACCTGCACCCTTGACACTTTCCTGACAGCCCCTGTGCCAGGGGCTTGTTCTGCTGCCTCTCCTGCTTGGGGGTGTTCCTGGCTTTCCCTGAGGGGGTGTTTGATTTCCAGCTGGTGGTTGCTGGACCTGCTGCCATCATGGCTCCAAGCCCTGGCCAGGGAAGGAGGGAGCTGGGGCCACCCCCAGCTCTTAATTGTGCAGATTACCCCTCAGTCCCTGCTATTCACCCCAGGGATAGGAAGCTTGTGAATATAGGAGACAGGAAGGACAGGATATGCCTGGAAAATCAGCCTTCCCCCCCACCATAGGGGCACCCTCAGTCCCCTCTGCCCTTCTCTGTGCACTGCAGGCTCTCCCTATGCATCTTCTGCTGCGCATAGAGTCATAGAATCATAGAATCATAGGGGGTTGGAAGGGACCTCAAAAGATCATCTAGTCCACCCCCCCTGCCAGAGCAGGGTCACCTAGAGCACATCACAGGAACACACCTTGAACCTCCTATGCTCCAATTTACACCCATTACCCCTTGTCCTATCACTGGTCATCACTGAGAAAAGCCTAACTCCATCTCCCTGACACTCACCCCTTACATATTTGTAAACATTGATGAGGTCACCCCTCAGTCTCCTTTTCTCCAAGCTAAAGAGACCCAGCTCCCTCAGCCTTTCCTCATAAGGGAGATGTTCCACTCCCCTAATCATCTTCGTAGCTCTGCGCTGGACTCTTTCAAGCAGTTCCCTGTCCTTCTTGAACTGAGGGGCCCAGAACTGGACACAATACTCCAGATGTGGCCTCACCAATGCAGAATAGAGGGGGAGGAGAACCTCTCTTGACCGACTAACTACACCCTTTCTAATGCATCCCAGGATGCTATTGGCCTTCTTGGCCACCAGGGCACATTGCTGGCTCATGGTCATCCTCCTGTCTACCAGGACCCCCAGGTCCCTTTCACCTACACTACTCTCCAGCAGGTCAGCCCCCAACCTGTACTGGTGCATGGTGTTTCTCCTCCCCAAATGCAGAACTCTACATTTCCCCTTGTTGAACTTTATCGGGTTTCTCCCCGCCCAACTCTCCAGCCTGTCTAAGTCTCTCTGAATGGCAGCACAGCCTTCTGGTGTGTCAGCCACTCCTCCCAGCTTAGTGTCATCAGCAAACTTGCTGAGGGTACATTCTATACCCTCATCCAGGTCGTTGATGAAGATGTTGAACAACAACATAGAATGGTTAGAGTTGGAAGGAACCTTAAAGATCATCTAGTTCCAACCCCCCTGCATGGGCAGGGACACCTCCCACCAGCCCAGGTTGCTCCAAGCCCCATCCAACCTGCCCTTCAACACTGCCAGGGATGGGGCAGCCACAGCTTCTCTGGGCAACCTGGGCTGGTGTCTCACCACCCTCACACTAAAGAATTTCCTCCTGATCTCTAACATAAATCTCTTTCTTTTAGTTTAAAACCATTACCCTTTGTCTCCTCTCACTACAAGCCCTCGTAAAAAGTCTCTCCCCAGATTTCCTGAAGCCCCTTCAGGCACTGGAAGGTGCTCTAAGGTCTCCCTGGAGCCTTCTCTTCTCAGGGATGAACACCCCAACTCCCTCAGCCTGTCTCTAGAGCAGAGCTGCTCCAGCCTTTGGGTCACTTTCGTGGCCTCCTCTGGACACGTTCCAACAGGTCCACATCTTCCTTGTGTTGGGGGCACCAGAGCTGGACACACTGCTCCAGGTGAGGTCTCTCCAGGGCAGAGTGGCAGGATCACCTCTCTCCATCTGCTGGCCACACTTCTTTTCATACAGCCCAAGATGCATTGGCCTTCTGGGCTGCAATTGCACATTGGTGGCTCATCCTCCCTCCAGCCCCTCTGACCTTAAATATCATCCGCTCCTGTGGTTCCTCTGCTGGCACTCACCCCCCCTTCCCTCCCTGCCTGGTCCTGCCCAGGTGTCCTCCACCCCTCCAGCCCCCCATGCACAGTCAGCTCTGTTCCCCTCTGCAGGGCTTTGCTCCCATCTGGTTCCTACCTTCTCACCATGCCCAAACATCTCTACCCCCCATCAAGCCCCTTCATCTCAGCTCCAGTTCCCTCCACCCTCACTCACATCCCCTGTGTGACACCTTCTGCACCCTCCAGTCTCCTTCTGTGTCTCGATCTATGCCTGGACCTTCTCCTGGCTATTTGTTG